TACCGTCTCCTCTTAGAAACACTTCATGTCTAAAAACTTTTAAGAAAGACCTTAAGACTCATTTGTTTAAACTAGCTTTTGAATTATAATTTATATATATTTTACAGCGCTTAGAGCCGACTTGTATAGGCGCTATATAAATCATATTATATTATTATATTAATACAGAGATATTAAAAATTTGGTGTCTGTGACGTCACTCTTCCCCATTCTTGAATAGCGCAGCGCAACCATGACGTCATAAAAACGAAGACAAAGACGAAATTCGGACAAACAAACTTACAAGTTTACTTTCAGCAGATAATTTTCACAGCCGATCGCAGTTGATCTTAGTTTACATGGGTTATTATTGTAACTTTAAGTAAAAATAATAAAATCGGTTCGTATAATCCTCGTAGCGGTTAAACAGAATGCAATATTTGTCCGAATCTTTAAGCTATTTTTAGAATCAGTGCGCTGCACCATTATTGCTGACTTTACTTGATACATGTATTTTTATCCATAAAAATATAGACCGTTTATTTCTGTTATTTCTCAAGTTCTTACAAAAAGTATTCAATATGTTGGATTAGAGTGCAAACACTTACATGAAATTATTAGAGTGCTCACACTAAATCCGTGAAACAAATACTAATTTTTAGCACTAAATAGTGATAATTAAACAATAGAAAACAATGGAATTTGCATGAAATAGTGCTATTCAGTATTACTAAAGTTTCACGGATTTACTGTGGTCACTCTAGTGTAATTTAATAATAATTCTGTTTCAAAGATTAAGTGTTTGTACTCATAGTCCCCTGAAGCTATTTCAGTGTTTAACACTCCTACAAGCAAAATAGACCATTCAAAACCATTCAAAACCAAGGCAGATGTCTTTGTACTGTGACATAAACACCTGATAAGAAAACTTAGGAACACACGGCATAGCCAATTTTATTATTGTTGTTTCAAGTTCGGGGTGCATTGGGTGTCTGCCACCCCTCTTTCGAGTTAAATTTAAAGATAATGCCCCTGGATATCATAAAGGATCTGCAACTGTCTTCAGCAATGAGAAAACCCCATTTTATAATCCGTAGTATTTTTTTATCATTCTATAGGTTCGTAGATTCTTCGGTGTCCACCATCAAATAACCTCTCAATCTCTTCAAGACTCTTGCCTTTAGTCTCAGGTACCCGCAGCACCACAAACAAGAAGGCGAGGAATGATATCCCAGCATACAACCAGTAAGTTCCTGGTGGGGTCAGTGCATTCTGGAAGTCTACGAACGTCTTTGTAACAGCGAATGCCAGGGACCAGTTAAAAAGTGTTGATATACTGCTTGCAATACCACGTGCTTTTAATGGGAATATCTCTGACATCAAGAGCCATGGAACTGGACCCCAGGCCAGACTAAAGGCCAGGTTATACAAGATTAAACTCAAGATTGCAATCCATGATATTTCCTTAACAGGAACTGTGTGATGGATGGAGTCCAAAAGACCAGCTACCTCCTTGCCTTCTTTTAAGATGGCCAACTCAAAGAAGAAACCCAAGGCTATAAGACTAGCAGTCATAACAAGGGCTGTGGTCCACAAGAGAGTCTTTCGACCTGCCCTGTCCACAATCAAACATGCACACCCTGTGCCGATAAATTGCACTGCTGCAACTATTACGGATACTTCTTTGCCATTCTCAAAGCCTGCTTCTTTGAATATGGCAGCACAGTTAAAAAGGACAGCATTAATGCCACAAAACTGTTGGAAGAACATAGCAGCCATGCTGATAATTAGAGGTTTGGTAATGGATGGCTTGCAGAACTCAGAACATGACATTGCTTGCTGTTCATCTGGAAAAAACATAAGAAATTCTTATCCACTATGATTTACATGGATGAGATGAACCAATCAAAATTTAGAGCATGACTTAACTAATCAACTTGAAAATTGAATTAGAATTTATATAGACTGTGTTGGGCTTTAAAGGAAGAAGGACAATTGAAGGACAAGGGTTTACTCCGGGTTCTCCAGTTTTCCTCCATCCTTAGGCTGCATTCATAATGTATGGCAGAGGGGGAGCAGGTGAAATTGAGGGGGGATCGGGAAAATTTTTATCAGAAAAATGGGGGGGGGATGCACAATTTTTGGAAGAAGCTACAAGCCTTGCTTAGGGAGGATCATGATTTTTTGCATGACTTTAAGGGGTGGTGTTAAGAATTATTGTGGACATTTCAAATTTTCACCTGCCACCCCCCCTCCCCCCGCCATACATTATGAACGCAGCCTTAGACCCCCCCCCCCCCCCCCATACATTATGAACGCAGCCTTAGAAATCAACAATCAATCAAAGTTGTCTGTTTCTCAGGGTTATCCTCAAATTTGTGCAGAATATTCATATGTTCCAGTGAAGGTCATTGGAATTTCAAAGTGTTTGTATTGCTTAAGTCGTGCTTTCTTTGCTTTACCATTGGTATTTGTGAATATCAGACATTGAAAAGAGGCTAGCCCTAGGAAAAGAGTCTGTAATCAAGGAACACAGTGGTAATTTAGAACTTCAAAAAGGTCTATTGCAATCCAATAAAAGAAGAGTCACTTTGTGAAACAACTGTTCATTCCCATTATTTAAACACTGGAGAACACTAGAGAAAACCCTCAAATTAAGGTAGACACTCAAACCCTACTCAAATGTGATGGTAAGTTGGGAAACCAAGAGGTGACGGGCGCACACAGGCACATGCACATGCCCGGGGGTACTCTTGCCCGTTTAGGGTAGCGATGTGCCACTGAGCCTTCTGAACCCTGACCCTGTTCCAGAGTAAAATCGCTGAAATTCATACCCTGTTCCAGAGCAAGCTCGCTGAAAACCATACCCTGTTCTGGTATTGCAAAAAGATAACCTCTTCCAGAGAGAAGAGAGCGTGATTTCATATACCCTGTTCCAGAGCGAGCTCAATTTTATATACCTTGTTCCAGAGAAGAAAACCATACCCTGTTTGGCGGCATATACCTGTGTAGCAAAATATAAGGGACTACCCCCCCCCTGGTGCACATGCCAACCTTAAATTCTTTCAGGTTCTCTTTATTTCAAACGTTTTTTCCAAGTAAACATGTTCTACTTTCAAAGAAGATGTAACTTACCAAGTGTAGCCTCAATAGTGTAGCATTCCTCTTCTACGCTGGCACCTGGTCCTTTCAGCCATCTCATGGCGCTCATTGCATCACCCCTTCTGTTGTGCCCTATTGACCAGCGTGGTGTTTCTGGCATAAAAAACATGAATAAAGCCAGGAAAGCCGGAGGAAAAGCTCCAATCAGTGCTAACCATCTCCACTTAACTAACATCCCCATGCAATATGCAAAGACGAGACCGAAGGTTACAGCAAGTTGATTGACACTGCCTAACATTCCACGTAGTTTAGCACTCGACATTTCAGCAATGTAGACCTAAAGGACGCAAAATAAAATATTAAAATAAATCAAAACCATTATTATTTATGAGAATAAATTTCCCAATGCATATAAAATATGGTTAAATTTAGATTACCCATTTATCATCGCCAAATAAGATAGAAGTTAGCAACCAAAATAAAAAATTATAAAAAAATGTTTATCAATCAGAGTCAACAATCTCTTAGCTACTGTCTTTTACTTACTTATTTGAGATTTTGACTGCAGGCTGGTGCTGCACAATAAGACTCAGTGTCCCCTTCGAAGTACATTGCACCAATTTCCAACCCTATAAAATCCCCATACCAACCACAATCAACCCCTTAAGAAATCATTAGTAAAGCCAAAAACTAAGGGTGGTCACTGCCAGGGTTTTCTTACGTCCCTCCTTTACAGGTTGAGGTAGTGTGGAGAGACGGGACTGCCATTTTACATGGTCATCCGAGCCACGTGAAGGTTTTACCATTTTGTAGTTGTTATTACAAAGGCAGCACCTTCTCCTCAGTTATTTTAAGACCCTGAGTGTTGGTCCAGCAGGGACTTGGACCACAACCTCCCGCATAAAAGTCTGATGCTCAACAACTGAGCAGTACATTATTACATATTATGTAAATATCTGCATAGGCTTTGAGAATAATGTCTTATTCCTATACTTCCCTTTTGGTACCTTTTTTGTCTGTTTTATCATATTTGGTAGCTTTTTTTATTGTGCTAGTTTTCATCATTGACTTAAGGATTTTTAACATTTGACTATGAAAAGAGATTTTGAAGAGAATTGTGGTACAGTAGTTTAGGTGTGAAGTCATTAGAGTTAGGATTTATTATAAATTAGCATTTTTACACAAGTGAATATAATAAATAAGGTGCGCTCATTGATCAAAATTTACTTTTTATGCAGTGATATTCACCTACAGGTGAATATAGTGCACGCACGTGCAGGATCATTTGTTGATTTGTGTCGCTTGCAGAGATAAGCTAGAAATTGAAGGGGAAAACCCTCTCTCTCCATTATTTATTAAAATCACTTGTGATAGCAACACTAAAACAATAATAATAATATTATTATTACCCAGATTTGAACAACTTACTGGCACTGTCATGGAAACCATTCCAACACCAATGCCAGTGATCAGTCTACCAAAGTACAACATCCAATGGTTGAATGCAAAAGAGATAAGCAGCCAACCAAGTTCAAAGGGAATAACACTGAACATAATGGTTCCTTTTCTGCCCAGGGCCTCTATTGTCCAGCCTCCCAGAGGACTTCCTAAAGCAGCCCCTAGAGCTATCAGGGCCTAATAAAAAGAAAATGCATAAATATTCATCTTTTTATAATTGGAAATAATAACAGTCTATTTTGTTTAAGGGACTGTTCACTATTTGTTGGAGAGGGAATGGGTGAGAAAAAAAATTCATATAATGCAATACGTTTTCTTCGTGTTATTTTAGGATGAATTTCAATAGCTTTTGCCACACTTCATGCAAAAAGCATCTTAAAAAAATATAAGTTTATAAAAAGGGATTATATTATTGGCTCCAGTTAGAGAACACCCGTTAAAATACTACATGCGAATRTAATAATAAAAAATAAAATTAAGTAATCTTAAAAGGAATAAAAACTCAACTTCAAAGTTAGGTTTAATTTAATTCATTAATTTTCGAAATCATAACTTTTGAGGATTACAAGTCTTAGTAAATTATAGAGCTTCGTTGACAAAATATACAATTGACAAGGCAAACTTGGACAGGACTTACCCCGAACCATGAACCTTGATTATTATCTAGTTTAACTTGTTTTTCTTCGTTTTGTAAATCCAACAGAGCCGAAGATGAATAACCAAGGCAGTAACCAAAGCTGAGGGGGCCAAGAGCAGCAACGAAGGTCGCCAGAACCATACGACTAACCCTTTCGTTGTCACTTTGCGTCATTCTCCTCCCAGTTTGAATCAAAGGAGTATCTCTACTTAATCCTTCTATTCCACTACCGTAGCTAGAAGAAGCAGCAGCGACATCAGCGTCGATCATGCCAAGATCGGAGGACAACTAAAGATTTTGCAATTATTTCGTAAACCAAAGATCGAGCACAAGCATGTGACACGAGATTCGATTTTACGCGTCCAGGCCTTAGGAATGTTTGACGTCATGTCCAGAATATACACCACAGGCAGCCCAAGCATAAATACAGTTACTTGATCGCCATTTGGGTTATAAATCTCAGTTTTGTCAAATTCAAATGTGATTTCAAATGCATGTTGTACTGCCGGATATTCAATCCGAGCCCGGCAATCTGCTCCACAAAGTACTATTGTGTCGTTCGTATTTCGTGCTGAGGAAAGACCAGCCTGTGTTCAGCCGGGAAATTGAGAAATTACATTTTAAAAATGCAGGGAAACTGATCCGAGGGTTGGGGGTAAATTTTGGGGTGCCTGTGACCCCCTTTCCAATTGGCAGTTTATTTCACCATAACAGCCGAAACAGATATATGTATACCCCGGTGTATAAGGCCTACTAGCCTGGTAACACAAATATCCTTCCAGTTATAAGCCCCCCTGGTTATAAGCCCAATAGTCTAGTAACACAAATATCCTTCCAGTTATAAGCCC